GATCATATAGGTTTGAATCCTGTGGGTCTACGATCAGTTTGGAAGCTTGTGGACAGAGATCTGTGCTTTTTGTCACTTGTAGATGTGTTTGTGATTGGTTTCTGCTTAGAGTGCGAAGCTTTGAGTTGTGTATTGTGTGCATTAGGGATTTGAGTTGATCTGAGTTGTGCTTGGAACCATTTGAGAGTTTTGAAGGAGTGTTTTGACATATTATATTGAACTGCAGTACCCTTTGCCTTGAGGCCCAGCAACACCAGTTGCCATCTCTTGCTTTGATAAAATGAAAAGCTTTGAGACTTAGAGAGGCCTCAGACTGTTGTAAGCATGCCATTACTGTTCACATGCTCTGATCTCATTGAAGAAGACAATTATATTTGTTGATTGCTACATTTATTGCATTATAATCCCTCCACAAACTAAGAGTTTTGTGTGTGTGTTGGTGTGAGTGTGGACAGTGGATAATGCTCTGCTGTATCTGTTTTCACCTTGCACATGCTCAGATCCTCTTCAATGTGGAAGATTCATAATGTCTTTAATGAGACATTACTAACTTCCTATATCACACTGGCATTCCCTAATCAGGAATGGCCATCTCTCCCGCCCTCTGAACTTATCGATGACAAAGAACATTACGAAGTCGATCAAGTTCTAAACCATAAACTATGAAAAGTTAAAGCAAAAGGGGGTGGTACAACAACTACCATTGATTATCTTGTCAGCTGGAAGGGCTATAGACCAGAATCCAACCAGTGGGTAAATGAGAAACTAATGCATGCTCATGACACTATACATGACTACAAATTATCCCTAAATTAAGCCATTGGGATGATGGTCTTAAGGAGAGGGTAATGTTACAATTTTCTATTCTTTTCCTTGAGTAACTGCTATTTATGCTGAGTCAGGATGCTAAGACAGGTGCTTAAGACTGTGGGACAAGGCTTAGTCATCACAACTAGCTGAGTCCATCATTGTCTTTCAACACAGCAATGCTGCCTGGTGATGCACAAGAAACCTTTTATATATGGTAACAACACTCAAGGACAATGAGCACAAAAGCAGAGAAACACACAATAAGTACATAGTATTATTAGCAAACCCTGTACAGTATTTAAAGAGGCTCGCTCTTGCTGGTAATTCCAGCTTTGAGCTAAAGTTTATACACTCTCATTCTACTCTCATGCTAATCACACAATGCCTTGAAGCACAGGGAATCAACAGACAACACACAAAGTGAACTCTAATGGAAGGCTTGAACATGAAGCCACATTAGTTTATCATGTGTTAAGTTGATCACATGTGGCTTGAGCCTAACACAGAGCTTGCACACTAAGAATAGAAGTCACACAGAACTACAGATATGATCTTGTACAGGAGGGACTTCATGCATGATCTTGCATGGAATTTTGTGCTGTACTGATGTATGACATATAACTATGGGGTAGATTAATTGATGCACTCTAGGCCAAAAGTGACACACATTGTGAGTAAGATTGAATATCCAGACACTCAGCTAGAGAACATAACAATTATAGCTGACTCCAGATATGAGAGATAATCTCAGAGTTCTGGAACAGGTTCTGGGGGTGGCAGAATAATCCTGAGAGGATAAGAAAGTGAAGAGGCCTGAGGCTAGACCCACTAACAGAGCTAACTGATGTCAGGTTGTATAGAGACAGAGAGCACAGTCCTGACACAGAACAGAATATGCTTCAGATAGTGACTTGCACAGAAATAACTTGCAAGAGACTCTGAAATAGAGTCTCACATATTGAAACTACTATATTCAGTGTCTTTTAATAGACACAGTAGTAGCCTATTTAACTACCACATTGTAAAAGTAGTAGACAAGTTTCTGACCCTCTACAGTTACAGTATATTGTGTATAAAGAACTTGCACTCTAGCTCTGAGTTTGAGTTAGTAACTTTGGGTAAGAGAATAAACCTTTTATTGAAATCATTAAGAGAGATTTGAAAACTGTGTAAGGCATCAAAAGCTTCTGCAGGACTCTGGACTCTAGTCCAATTTAATAAGAGATTTTGAATTGTGCTCTAGTCTGAGAATAAGAGAGCAGTGTCTGAGAGACACACTTTTGAGTTTTTGAGGCATTTGTGGTATGAGACACTACAGGTGGCAGAGGTTCAAATTCTTTAGATCTGTGGATGGAGTTTCATTGTATTTTCATGTCTCTGGATCATATAAGTTTGAACCCTGCAGATCTATGATTAGTTAGAAAGCTTATGCACAGAGATTTAAACCTTTTAGTACTTGTGGATGGAATTGTGAAGTGTTTCTGCCTCAAGCATGAAGCTTTGAGTCATGTATTGTGTGTTTGAGGGTTTTTGAGTTTGATCTAAGCAGTGCATGAGACTTTTTGAGAGTTTTATGAGAGTGTTTCAGAGTGTTATGTTGCAATACAGTATCCTTGCCTTGAGGTCTAGTGACATTCATTGCCTATCTTGTTAAAACAAAAGCTTTGAGACTTAGAGAGATTTCAGATATATATATATATGTTATTGTTTATTGCACACAGTAGATTATGAGAGAAACAATTGTATTTGCTATTACTACTCTTATCACATTACAATCTTCCAATGAACTAAGAGTATTGTATGTGTATATTGGTGTGAGTGTGATCAGTAGATAGTCCTTCATGTTATGATTTATCTATTTTCTTCTCTCTAACCCCTATGCTTAGTCAGAACATCCTCTGTTGGATCGTGGGAAGGGCTTAGTCATCACAACCAAGCCGTTGTTATAACCTAACAACAGACAGCTCTGACCACACAATCAACCTATTATATACAGTTGCAACGCTCAAGGACGATGAGCACCATGGACACAGGAGGACACAATAAGTAGGAGTATTATTAGCATACATGAAACAGTATTTAAGGCTCACAGCTCTCACTGGTATACCCCAGCTTCGAGCTAAAGTTTATACACACTCATTCTCCTCTCGAGCTGCTATTCATGCCTTGATAACACATCGGACTGACTAAACAAGAACTCCGACGGAAGGCTCGAACATGAAGCCACATCAGTTTATCATGTGCCAGTCTATCACATGTTGCTTGAGCCTAACACTTCATTGTATTATTTCTACCTTGCATATGCATCCACCTCTTCAATAGGCTTTAAGTAAATCAATCATTCCAAGTTCAACAAAAGTAATTTCATTAAGAACTTTTCATTATTCATAAAATTTCTCTTTATATGAAGGTTATATGTTGCACATAAACTTTCCTTTAGTTTGCAAACTTTTTCTGCATTTGTGAATTTTTTCTCATTAACTTTCATAGCATGCAATCTTTCTCTTTAATAATAGGTGCTATAGACATGGCCAGATATCACAATACCCAATCATATCTGACACATGTCATTATTAGTATATATGTGGCACTCTAATATAGTCCACAAGATCCATCATGATGCATATACAAAGCTGGCTGAAAATGTCTAAGCTTTTCACAGCTAGTATATAGAAGACTAATAGGCTGCAAAGGACTAACCATGTGGTTAGTTAGATATTTGTAGGGAATATTAGGAGAACTAGCATACTATTAGCTAGTCACTATACAGAGGTACATGACTAGACTTCCTTGAACCAGCCTTCAGATTCTGTGCTTTGGTTGCACTTACCATAGTAGGTTTTGTATTTCCTGCCTGCAGAGAGTCTAACAAACAACTTTCTAATTCATTATCAGGAGCTATCATCTATTGTTTTGAAGAAATGGGGCTCTGTCCTCTTAGTGCTGTATGCATTGAGCCAGTGGATGAGCTTATTGATGATGTCATACTTGACAATCAGAAGGCTGAGATTTCTGGCTATTTCTTCAAAGAGAATAGTGCTGGGGATTGAGTTGGATGGTCAGGTGTAGATCTCCTCCTGGCTTGAGAGTGTGAGTGTGTAAGAGGCTGGTCAAAGGGCATTGTAAGTTATAGCCATTCACTGCTGAGTTTTCCACTCTTTCTGTTCTCTTCTTCATCACTCCCTTTTCTAAGGAGTATATATGACATTGTAAGAGATAAAATTGATTACTGATATTGTCAGACATATGCTTGTGAGAGTGAGAATGATAAAGTTTTCTTTTGATGTGTTCTTAAAAATTATCCTGAACTAAAGATCTTCTTCAGACCAGAGCATGAGAAGTCTCAAGCTAAATATCAGATAACAACTAAATAATCACAAATGCAATGCACTGCAACAGCTAGGGTTCAACACTAACTGAAGGTAAAGTGGAAGGATGAGGATGAGGATGTACAGGATGATAATAGAGGAAAGAAGTTATAGAGGTTAATAGACTATGACTGCCAGTGTTAGTACTGAAGTAGTAGTCACACTAAGAGTTTAGGAGTTTGATCAGTATATTGATCTAGCTCAAGACTAAAGTATATCACTGTATACTACTGATCTAAATACTGTATCTAAGAAAAGTCTTGGTGATCTCAATCAAGCCATTGTTTCAGTGCCTCAAACCAAGCTTTGGTGTACTCCTGGTCCTATGGCTGTCTCAAACAAAGCCATTGTCTCACTTCCTCAAACCAAGCCTTGGCTGGGCATGATTTAGGGGCTAAAATCATGACATCAGGCAATGACTAATCACAATTACAAATATACTGTCTCTATACACTGGAGTTCAAGGCAATTGTCCTCAACAGAGGGCCCTCAAGTTTCCCACCCAAGTCCATGTGTAGAATCAGAAAATTTGTATCATGGGAGCAATAAGTTATTCAGATGGAATCTATAATCCAGCACAGCTGCAAATATTTTAGGGGATAACATTCTTTGGCATAAATAAGAGGTGGGCCCAAGGATATAACTATAAGGAATCAATCCTAGATAGGAAGTGTCCTGGTCTGCTCAGGCTGTGGAGCATGGGAATGGGATTTATGGGTATGGGCCACATGAGTTGTAAAGGGAGTGGGGTGGCCAGTGTCCACAGGCACCATGAGAGACCACTCTCGACTCTGAGTCTGGAGTGGATCTGTGAAAATCGGCATGTTCAGTGTGATTCGGATGGGTCCTGGGCCTCTGATCTGTTGTCTGTCGACAACCACGGCCGAAACAGACAGAGTCCCTGTTAGAAGGACGAGAGCGAGACGGATAATGGAAAGCATGAGTTCCTTGGAAATGAAGATCAGTATCATGGTCCTAGTTAAGCAGGAGACTCGGAATCTTCTTACCAGAGACGACGAAATAAAACTGCAGCAGTTTAGTAATTTAGAAGATGGAGGACACGAAGAAAGGCAACTGATTGAGAGATATGTGCTCCTGGATTTTCTGAGGCGCCAATCCTCCTTCATCCAGGCTTTTATAAAAGCCGACTTCTGGGATCAAACGAGGTGGAACGGCACCTAGTATCCATTATTAGATGAACAAAGATATAAACTCGTCGCCTTGGGAAGCACCCAATTCCACCTGAGGGATATCTGCCTGGATAACACAGTCCCACATATTTCTCAGTTCAATCTAATGATTAACTAAGGACTTGGATCTCTCCTTCTAGGTGTGGAGACGAGGTCGGCCAAGAGTTGCATCTCGAGTATCGTTGATACAAGTCTGTCATACCCTGTACATAGTATCTGACGCGTCGACATTTATACCGTTATGCTTCACGTTCCTGGAAGAAGGGCGGGGACCCAGCGTAATGTTTAGAAAACCTGCCCTGGAATAGGAAACATGAAATCAAAGACTCGAATATACCGGTATCTGCTATATAATTAGTGTTTGCGACATGGCTTACCGGAACTTGAGATAAATTTATCCATGACCTGTTTGATACGGGTGAAGGCCGTGCATTACTCAGAAATACTCAATCTATACTAGTAGTGAATGAACGACGTAAGCCGTATATGGCTGAATTTTCTCGAACGGACTGGAGTCTCGTCTCGCTCCAATAAGTATCTGAACAAGTAGGTGTTCCTCCATCTCTGGGTTAATTCAGAAGAAAGTAAGGAGAGTTATGGCAACGAACTGAGACCCATCGCCAACTTGAGGGGTTTCTCGGCTTCCTTCCCGATATCATCCGCTGACTCGTAACGTTACGCGCCAGAAATACACGTGAAACAAATATGTAACGGACGGGCCCGTTCTACTTCCTTTTTCGTAACATAAACCCGGACTTTATTTGAACTATGCTTATCTATGCACTCCACTCTTATCTACGTATAAATACTTGGTCGTGCCTAGAATTACGCCAGTCTTTCTTACCTTTTCCCCCCGAATCGAGGTGTCTTCAATCCGGTCCTTGATTCGTCCTTGTGTGCCGCTACTGACTATCATCGCTAACGTCACATATTTTTGACCTCAGAACAAGAAACCTCGCTTAATCGACTCCTGAATCGACGGGCCTAACCCCAGGAAAGCACTGGACTGATCACCCGGTTCTCTCTTGGCTTCGCCCCGTCACCCTACAGACTCTGCTTCGTTTACTACCTCTTTCTGCACTCGACCTTCTGCTTTCTTCTTTTCTCTCTCGAACCACTAGACATTAATGTCTCGTTATCAGCTACGTAGCCGGGGTCCCTTGACGACCCCAGTGCCTCCGGCCCCTAATGTCGCTGCTCAGGTGCAGCAGACTGAACATGATGAGTCCCCTTTGACTAGCTCCAGGGATACTGACTCTTCCAGAAGAAACCTGGCTATGCTCGAGGATCGCTC